GCGCGTGTGTGTGTGTGATTGAATAGGATAAGGATAGGAACAAATTGGAAACGTTTATAAATCTAACATGTTTCGCTTTTATTAAAGCTTCTTAAGAATGTGAAATATGAAGGCGAAAAGAAAATTTTGCTAGTTTTTATTTTAGTGTTGTTAGTTTTTGTTTAGTTGAGCAGACCTTACAGGTAGTTGTACTTCGGTGTGTATAATTCTTGTTTGTTTGTCTATCACAACTCTAGTTCTTCTATGCGAAATTTGGTTGATAATGTGTATGTGTGTGTGTATGTGTGTAATTACCAGAATTTTTAACGAAAATCTTGTTAATCCGTATGGATAATCCCAAGGAGGATGAGATCCTGAGAGCTCAATGTTAATTCAGAGCGAATAATTTAATTTAAAGAGAAACAGACCACTTTAAGGCTCCATTTGTAATAATTTATTTCACCAGAGAATTTTATTTTTCTCTGGATCTTCAGATTTCACTTTCAAAAGGGGAAACGAAAAATGAATTTAAAATTTACACTTTTGACGGGTAGAATTAAGCTTATATAAGTTGACATAGAGGGTGGTGAGGAATGGTATGAGAGATATGGTCGAGTTTAGAGAGGGAAGGGACAGTTTTAAAATTTATATATTTCTTTTTATTATAATACTTAATATTGAGGAAGGAGGGGGTAAGGATCAGATACTGATCTATTTAATCGGTCAACTCAACGGAAATGATATGGGAAAAAGGAAAAGGAGAACAAAAGGGAAGAGTCAGGAACACGGGACGTATTTAACATCTTAACAGATATTCTGTTTCTACAAAGACGGTGAAATATATTTTCATGCTTCCTTTCCGTCTATTATTAGCATTGTTATTATTGTTTTATTATGATGATTTGTGATTTCATACAATTCCAAGACTTTAACTGAGATCTGAGTTAAAGAAAGTTTTTGCTTTAAAAAATGACCTTGCATATTACAAACATCTGGTCCTGATGAGCGTTTTGATGCAAGTCGGCTAACGTAATAAGTCACTTTCACTTTTCTTCATTTATTTAATCTAAAATTTTGTATTGTATCTGAACGCTGCTTACAAAAATATAAGGACATGGAAATATAGATTAAATGAAGGCATCATTTAAACACAATAATGATAGAAGGATTAGGAGTAACTAAAAACATTACTGGTATACAGATTAAGGAAGTCCCAATAATCTTCTCACGAAATAATTATGTATTAATTTTAGTAGCAGTAGAAGTACTACTAGTAGTAGTAGGCATCCGTTTATTTCGCGAGATAAAGGCAGCGTCTTGTTTGGTCAAATTTCAAACCGTTAGTGGTGAAACTGGAGCAAGCTCTCCAGTGTGCAGGCCATAGTAAATGGAGGCTATGCGCTAGCACACTACATGCTCTCACTCTCGGCCATATCGACAAGATACAAAGTAATATAGGGGCCGACTATGTTGCAGAAGTTGCTGGAATGTTGTCCGTGTTGACAGCCAAACGCCCGCGGGATTACATTCCGAGATTTTTTTGTACCTGGATTTACTGCCATAACATTTTATGTATTTGAACATGACCGCAAGGCAGCAGAGGTTTAAAATCAGAGGTTTCCTTCCCCTAGATAGACTGCCTTCCTGCGCTGTCGAGCTCCATCTGCTCGAAGTAGCTGGTTATGAGGCGCCAGTTTCACGCCTTTACCCATTCACCGGCTTATTTGAGTGTTTTTGAGACGCATACAACGAAAGCATTTTATAGACAGTGCAAGCTTGATCCCCCACTATCACCCCCAGATATGACAATCTTTGAAACAGGTATAATGCACGGATATAAACATTATATACATTACGTGTTTTAGAAGTATTATGTAATAGTTTATTAATATTAACTATTAATAGATTATCTTAGCAATAGTAGCGGAGAGAATATATTTATTGCCCTCTATTACACAACAGTATTAGAATAATATTATTCGTGGTTTTAGTTATAGGAATACCAATATTAAAATGACTATTAGTATAAATGGTTTGATACTTATTGGGTGCCACACTATTAAGAATTTCTATTTAGGTTAGCGAATTCCGATTTAGTCTGCATAACAATGGCAAAATGGATGGAGAATTCTATATTTCTATACCGATTCCGATTTTAACAGAGTACCCAATATTTATGGTCTTGTGCCAGGCAACGATAGTAAGCCTAAATAGATTTCTTATTCTTATTTAATGCCATGCGTGATACACGCGTAGGCGATCATGTATTTTTCGATACACGACTGACGAGGCAGATTTTTTTGCTTCCCGCAGTAGTAGACCATTTGCCATCCAAGGCTATAGATCCCGGTCTGTCCTGCTATGTAGAAGAAGAAGAGGATTCATACCTTTCCTTAGCACGTAAGTAATGGATTCGAACTCTCTCCGATTTCTCAATTCAAGCTGCTATCCATTACTCCACGGTGGCTCCCCTCTATTTACTCTTTCTTAATAACAACTTCATCATCAAGAATAAGCTTGTAAAATCTACCATAATCATAATTACAAATACGGACTTTTTTTTAAACATTGGTAGAAGTGATTGATGATCTATTCATTCGGATGTTCTCTTTGAAAAATGACTGTTACCGCCGGCAAGTCGTCAAAGATCGATGAAAAGGCGGAAAGTGATAGGAGCAGCAGGAATTAAGACGACCATTTGTTTGGAAACAAAGAACGGGCAACTAAAATTATAAAAGACACAGAACAACGATTCTTCAGCGACGCGAAAATGTTATTGCATCTCTATTTCACCACAAATGTCAACGTATTGGGAAATCGGGAGTCAATATTTTCTCGTGGTCTTTATTTTCTTATCGTCAGCGCCACATCCATCATTTTAAAATTGATACGGATCAAAGAACGCACACTGTCATTGAAAAGTCAGAAAAAAAAATCATTGCTTCGTCTGCAGAGTATATTTCTTAACAAGCAAATCTTTCTTTCTTCAGTTATACTATTTACATTGTTTGGACTCTTGTGTTCATCTTCGTTAACATGTTCACGACGTTTCGACTGTTATACGCCCCGACCTTCTTCAGTTCGAGAGGAGATAACTCTAGTACAGGAAAATGTTAGAAATATTCCATTCCCAAAACATACAAATACACGACATAAAGGAATTTGCAGAGATTCCTCTATCATCTTCCCTGTCTCTTCTTGTCGCGGGCGATCATGGCTCTCTACAACTTCTTTAAGTTGTTGGTCTTAGTAATGTTTGTCTTTTTCCTATCCTTCTCCATTATTGATCTGCTATAATTTTAAAGAAACTTCTCAGATAGGTTACTTTCTTTCTTTATTCTTCTTCTTACTATTATTATTATTATTAATTTTCCCAGGCTGTCAAAAAGGGCGGCAATTAGGAATCTCATATTTTGTCAAGTCCTTAGAATTATTAAACTGTTTGCTTGTGAGTTCATAAATATAATTATTCAATCTTTATTATTGAACGCTGCACACGCAGTCGATATTTTCACTTACTATCTTTGTGAATATTTCATAACAGTCCATCATTAATAAAAAAATAATGCCATCTGGTGTAATGAGGGCAAAGGGAGATAACTCTAGTATAGGAAAATGGTAGAAATATTCCAGACACAAGACATACAAATACACGATGTGTTTTCTATACATAAAATATTTTTCATAGATTCCTCCATCGTGTTCCCTCATGTCGCAGGCGATCATGGCTCGTCACACCTTCCTATAAGTTGTTAATCTTAGTAATATTTGTCTTTTTGCTATCCCTCTCAATTCTTGATCTGCTATCCTCTTAAACAAATACTTTACGCAGGTTAATCTCTATTTCCATCTGTTCCTCTTGCATTTTATATGTTCTATAAGTTTCAAATATTTCCATGCTTTCTTTCCTCATTAAATGTCCCAGATATCTCAACTGTCTTTTTCTGATTCCAATTAGAAGCTTCCTTTGTTTCCCTTCTCTTTATAAACTTCTTCGTTGATCACATGTTCAATCCCTGGTATTCTCAACATCCTTCCCTAAAAAATATATCTCTATTTCCTCATCTTCATCTGCGAGGAAAGTGTTCAGCATCCACTTCTGTAGGGGAGGAATGATAATGCATAGCAGTTGAGTAATCTTTGCTTTGAATCTAATTAAATTCCCCCTGTTTTTTTTTTTTTGTTTTTTTTTACATTTTACTCAAGTTTTAAAAGCCTTCATTTGCTATTCAAATATCCCATCTAATTTGACTGTCACGTTTCGCATTCCCTGTCAAAACACTTCCCAGATATTTAAATTGTCGGATATGCTTGATTTTCCTATCACTGATTTCTATCCTGCCTACTATGTTTTTCGTCTTGCTGACAGCCATACATTCTGTCTTATTTCAATCGATGATTAGTCCTTTCTTCTCGCTTTCCTTTACCCAGTTGTCTAGCGGTTCTTACAGTTTCCTTGCTGTGTCAGTCATCAACAAGACTAAATTTACGTGTTTTTAATCCATGATTTATGTAAACGAGTAAAATTTTTACAGTTTTGATGAGCAACCTTTCACTTCTACCATGACCGGAGGTGAGGCATTAAGATGTGGAATTTTTATTCTTTTAAATCGGCATTTTTAAATTCACGTCATTGAAGACTTACTTATCCTATTTATTGCTAAATTAAACTTAGTAATATCTGTAATTGTATCGAATTATGTTTTCTTTTTTCGTTTTTCTCTTATCTACTCTCACCTTTCTCCTATCTTTCTTTCTTTTTCTCTTATCCACTCTCACCTTTCTCCTTTCTTTCTATTTTTCTTATCCACTCTCACCTTTCCCCTATCTTTCTTTCTCTTTCTCTTATCCACTCTAACGTTTCCACTCTTTTTCTTTCTCTCTCACTTTTCTGATGACCATACATACTCATCTTCATGTCATTTTATCCATTTTTTCTCTCGACCAAATATTCACTCTCCGCCTACGACTACTAATTATTCCTTCGCTCGACCAATATTCTATTTTTCGCTAGTGAACAGAGGCACATTCGCAAACTTTACCATCTTTTTTCTTTCTTTCTTTCTTTCTTTCTTTCTTTCTTTCCTTCGTTTTTTATATAGTTCATTTTCTATCTCTCGTTTTTGATCTCTTTCTTTCTTTTTTCTCGTTCTTTCTGTATCTCTCTCTTTCTCTTATTCTTTTTCTTTATTTATCTTTCTTTCTTTCATGCTTTCTTTCTTTGTCTCTTTCTCTTTTTGTCTTCATTTCACTATTTATTTATTTCTACTTTCTTTTTTCGTTATTTATTTTCTCTTTCTCTCGTTTTTTCTTTCTTATTTTCCCTTTTTCTTTCTTTCTTTCCTTCTTTTTCTTTCTTTCTTTCTTTCTTTCTTTCTTTCTTTCTTTCTTTCTTTCGTATCTCCCAGCGAAATAACCTCCCCAATGACTTAACATCGCTTGACAATTGCTCTTGGCTACAAGATGAAATTTGTTGTTATATGAATTAAAAAATTATCTCGATTTACTGATCAATAATTGTTTCTAATCACTGCCGGAAAGTCTTTTGTGTTTTTATGCTTCTTTTGTATTTTCAATTTTAATATTCGTCTTTTTTTTTTCTTTGAGTGTTGAATTCATCGTTTATAGTTTTCGTTTTGCGTAACCAATTTTTTTATTGGTTGGCATCTCAGATATTTCTTTGTATTGTTGAAACGTTTTCCATCGTCTAATCTTTACTTGTGTGCATCTTGATTGCCTTCGAAAGTTGCAATGTTCAGCATTTCTCTTGTCCCTTCGACAATATTTATTCAAAGAAAATTTCATTTTTATTAGTTTCATAATATTAGCCTTAGAAAATAAAATATTAACGAAATTCAAATCATTTCTTTTAATTCTTTCGATAGACACAAAACACATGCATATAGAAAATGAGGGAGAGATAGAGAGAGAGATACAGACAGATAGATTAGAACAGACTCAGATAGATAGATAGATAGATAGATAGATAGATAGATAGATAGATAGATAGATAAAGAAAGACAGACAAACAAATAGATAGATAGATAGATAGATAGTGTTGTAGAGTTGTTTTTCACATTGGAGGCTTGTATTTCAATAAGTCGTCCTAAATTAGGTTCGACGTACAAAATGTTAGGAACTTGAAATAAGAGTTAATGACGCAGCAATCTAGTTATGATGGTTGATACTTCAATGTCCGACATCGACTAACTCGATCAACACCACTGAGCCCAACTGGTGACCGCTACTACTACTACTACTACTACTTATTATGTGTGGGAGAGTCTATTAAAATAGAATAGATAATGTTTTGGTATAATAGATAGATAGATAGATAGATAGATAGATAGATAGATAGATATTCAGAAAAATTGTAAAATAGATAGATAAACAGACAGACAACTGATAGCTATAGAGACAAATTCATATAGATAAATAGATATGAGATAGACGGAATCGACAAACGGATATAAGAACCCCATTCATATACTTTCATTTTCAGGACTTGTAAATCTTCAAAATTACTTTCCTGCAAAGTTTTATTCTGCCGACGGCAAACCAATTTCTTTTGTTTACTTTTTTTATTTTTCAATTTAGAAAACGCATTTCTGATGAAGAAAACTGGATCCGATTCAAAATTAATGCCACTTCTGCCCGAATTCACTTAATCCTAAGCTAATAAACTGCTTTAAACATAAATATGTTTGATTGTTTAATGATTGGACTTAGACCAAACGAATGTTTCTTCGTTCAGATGACGAATATCCTGCAGGCAATTTCACCCCGTGTTAAGAATACATGTAATTTAAATCTTGCCGTTTACTATTCAACGCGCCTTGATCAAATGAATAAATATATTGAAGGTCGCCAAATAGAAAACACTGTTTTTTGGCTGAGATTGAAATCTATAGAAGCTGATTCCCTGTGATTTGGTTTGCCTCTTAAACGATCAATACTGAAATTTATGGGGTGCATAAGACACTTATCAACACTTCCTCTCATGTGTAAATATGTTTGTCTATACAAGCAGAACACCTGTTTTACGAACAAGGAAATACTTAACTTAAATATTTAACATAGAGGTTGTCTTAACTTTCTAAAATTTCTGTATACACAACATTTTCATCAAGATATTTTCGAAATTTCTTTTTGACATTTTTCCTAATTTACTTGAACTTCTTACTCTAGACATGGCTACATGGAGTTGACCACGAGAGAAACATTTGCATAATTATTTGATGTCGATAATAATAATAATAATAATAATAATAATAATAATAATTCATTCAGTAAAGTTAATATGTTTTGTTGTGTTTAAATAATTCAGTACATTTTAAGAAAATCTAATTAAACAGATTATTCTGACTTATTTAGATAATTACAAAAATTTGTTTCCAAGACTTTTCACTAATCTCTAGCAATGTGAAATATCAGATGACATTAATGCTTTTTATGAACGTTGTAAGTTTTCTTGCATACGATTGAATTTTGAAGAGCAGGTATAAATTATTTCTATACAAACATGATGAATTGAAAAGATACTTTTTAGACAGAAACTTTGCAAGTACACAAACATATGTCAAGTTTTTAAATTTGAATTAAAAATATATAACACAGATTATTTATTAATATACGCTTTTAAAATATAATGTGTGAATTAAATGTTAACGTTTATGCTTTAAACGCTATTTGTTAGTAATAGTTAAAAGAGAAACACTGGTAGCAAATGGATTACGTGTAAAAGGGGGCACTTCGATGTGATATAAGGGTTAGATGAATGACGACTGAATAGAGAGTTAAGTCTCACACTTTTGACCTTGTGCGACACCTACGCTACGTTTAGAAAATAACCGGTGTGGTGTAATGGTTGACAAGTTTGTCTCATTAGTACAATTAAGATTGAATAGTAAGATCAATCCTCATTGGGTGCCCCACACTTTCGGTTATGTGCCACATCTAAGCTACGCTTAGAAAATCACCATTACGTGTAAAAGTGTAGACTGTTATATTGATGAAGATACACAATCTTTCTTTGCGCGAATTTATGAAATATTATGTTAATATATGCTCTTCAAAATCTCTTTTTAAAAGTTACGTGAAAATTGTGTACCCCGATAAAATGGCTAAGACAGAAGAATGGAAGAAAAAAAAAAGTTAATACATAAGTTAGATAAAAAATATACATGAAAAAGGTTAAAAGAATTTCAAATAAGAGAAATGATTTCTCTCTGTCTTACTCTTCGATGTGTGTACCATGTTTCTAGAGAATGTACGTGATCATATCACTCCTCAGTTTTTTGATGCTCTAAATAATTCTCCCCCCCCATTTTGGTATTTGCAGCACTTGGTCTTCCATTCTTTTAATCAAACATATCAAGTCTGTTGCTTGCAGATTTCCAGTTTCTCTTCATTTCATCCGGATTGAGGAAGATTAATTTCTTGAAGTCTTTTTTTGCGACTTAAGTGGCTCCAACTTTTCAGCTATTTCTTTAAGATTGACATCAACATGTGTTTGTTATTTTATTTAATAATTCAGCTGTAATTTATCGCAAAGTGCGACAGTATTGAAGTGACGGGAGGGTCTTTAGTGTAAGTCACCAGTCACTGCTGGTATGTGCATTCATTAAATAATAGTAATTATATTAATAATAATCTCTATGGTAGTAGAAAACTAGGTTTGACTTATGGCGGGAGAGAAACGTGCCTCATGGGCAAGAGGAACATTTTGCTCGTGGATGAACATCATTCTAGAGATGGTGTCGTGAAAAATATATAACTGGCTAATCTTGAAACACACCTCATTAATGAGTGCAATGTCAAATACAAATTAACCAGATAACAATGTCAAGGGACCTGAGCCGATGGTAAAGATTTCTCACCCGGTTGGTGGTACATGGGTGAACAGTATGAACCCCGGTCGTTATCAGGCGATTGTTCAAAAAGACGACAAGAGAATTAAGTGGAACAAGACGCTTGACAACATTGTAATGGAATGTTGCCTGAGATACAATCCTAAAAAGAGGGGGGGGGTCAGAAAAAAATGTAAATTGTTTTGAAAACAAATGAGATCAACAGATAAAACGATTTAAATCGCGATATTTCAAGAGTTTGATGAGAACTAGTAAGGAAAGTTATTAAGGTACAAGTGAAAATATTTATTGTACGAATGTACAAATAGGGCACAAGGCCAAAAGGGGGAAAGGGGTAAAGGATGGTCTTTTTCTATTTTATCATTAAACTTAGCTAGCCGCAAACACTGACCCAAACATATAAACGATATTCCTTTCACCAAAAGAACTCATTCTTACTTACCATTCTCACCATAATGCCTCAGAAACCCTATGAAGTCCTAACTAGTCCCCATATATACAATTCGTTACCTGTGAGGGGATGGGAATAAAATAACAATTAAAAACCTAAAACCCCCGATGAGTATTTACAAATGTGTACAAAACTATACACAAGAAACTAAACAAATTTTTTTTAGTAATAACCAACCCTGCAATTGATCATTGAAACACTGGTGTATGATATATAAATAGAGCAATTAGGTTATGTTAAATAGCAGTTTATTTGTATAGAAGGTTAATTCTAGACTTGAACAGGTTAGGATTGTAGTGATCGAGGAAACATTCTCTTGGGAGTCTGTTCTACAGGGCAGTGGTTCGCGGGAAAAAAGAAAAGCTGTTTGAGTGGAACATATTTCACGCCAATGGAATACGGAGGGAATGTATATGGTTTGCTACTATGTAAGTGGTATGGTGGGTCCTAGCCGTAAAGGTCAGACCTGGTGGAACGAAGCAATGTAATTGGACTGAGCACTTTCAATGGAAGTAATAACAGAGCAGTGAGAGACTCGCCACATCCTGACTATGAGAGAGAAGTTGCAGTGTGGAAAATAATTCCTCTCCGATAAGGACTCGGAGACGCTTTTCCGTTCAGTGAGGTCTGGGTAGCTCCTGCACAAATATGGCAACACTATTCTATTTTCGTCCTGATCTGGTTCTTATAAAGGTAGAGGATAACATGAAGAGTCACGAACCTACTGGAGTGGTACAAGGATTCAATCACTTTAACTGAATATATAGCGATGGACCGTATATAAGAATTCAACTTGAGATCGAGTTTGAGTTTGTGAACCAATATTCTCTCAAGGTATGGAGCCTCTCTCAGGGGATAATCCGTTCATCGTGTAAGGCAGCTGTTCGGGGTCTGGTCGGCGGTGATGGAATGTAATCAGTTGAATTTTTACCTCATTGTGTAGTTTTCTGTTAGGTCGGAAGAGAGTTCAGCTGCTAATCTCTGACCATCAAGAGTTTTAGAAGTGTGCCCGTATATAGTCGTATCATCAGCATAAATGTTTACAAATGATCTGATCATATTCTTAGGCAGAACATTTATGTAAATCCAAAGAAGAGTATTGCAATGGATCGTATGTACGAGTTCCATTTCAGGTTATTTGAGGCCAAATAGTCTTTCAAGGCACGGTGCCTCCCGGAGAGGACATCCGTTATTGTGACTGGTGGTAGTTCGGGGTCTGGTCGGCGAAGATGGAATTTAACCAGTTTGGTTTTCGAGCCATTGAATGCAACTAGCCAGGTTTTTCCCCACTAGGAAGTTAGATCGGAAGGGAGGACATCTGCACATATACTTTGAAAAGTATTGTATACATTGTATATATCTCATTGAAAAGAACAAATGGCCGGTTTATTCATCAGTAGTGTCCTAAAAATAATCTTCTCATCAACCACCAACAGCAGCTGCTGTGCAGAAGTGAATTAATAATAATAATAATAATAATAATAATAATAATAATAATAATAATAATAGAAATGCTGAAAGCAGCCTGGTTGAGAAAAAATAATTCAAAAAAATCAAATTGAGAAAAAAAGTCATGTAACTTCCGCTAGAAACTTAGAAAATCAGGAAGCCCTATTTCTCACGCTTCCTTCCCAATCATGTTATACCAAAACACAAGTTCTATCGAATGGAAAATAATCTAAAAACGTAACTCAACAAATACAATAATAATGGTAGCTGCACGATTTATGCTCTGTTTCTCATAAAAATAGAATGTGTAGATGCTTAAAATAGAAAGGAGTTGCACTGACAATATGTGAGGAGCGGTTTGAAACTGGAAGTGACTTCCAAGACTTCATACTCAATCAGTTTAACGCCTTTTTTTATCGATTCTTCAGCACTTTTTCCTTCTTCTTTAGAACAACCATCAAGTGGGAAGGGTTTCTTTGGCGCTTACCCTTTTTTTATTATTTTTGTTCTGCTTTCTCTTTCGTGTTATATTTTAGACATCATAACGTCATTTATACCCGACCTGACAATCAAAATGTTCTTTACTTTCTTTCAATTTTCTACCATTTTTTCTTTGCTTTATTTCCTTTGGCCATTAGTTTTCTTCTTTTTCATACTTTTTTTTTCATTCTAAATTTTCTCTCCATTTTTTAACCTTTTTTTTTTCGATTTCAAAACGTTATTTCGTTCTTTATCCTTCTTAATCCACGCATCATTTTAATCCTGCTTTTCTAGTTCCTTTTTCTTTCTATCATTTCTTTCTGAAATTGATTTTCATTTATTCTTCATTAATTAATTCCTTATTACTTTCCAATATTTTATTTATTTTATGTTTACCCTTTTTTTTCCTCGGCTGATCTTACCTAATTAATTTCTTTTTTTCTTTAATTTCAATTTTTGGTCAAAGCCTTATTACTTGTTTCTTCACTTCTTTTTGGTTGTCATTCTTTTTATCCATGTTTTCTTTTTTTCTTTCTTTCTTTCTTTCTTTCTTTCTTTCTTTCTTCAGAATTCTTTTTTCTGTCTCTTGTTCCATTTCTTCTGTTTGCCCGGTTTTTCTTTTCCCCTTTATTCGTCTATTTTCGTTCTTTTATTTCTTTCTTCGTTTTAAAATCTATCTATCTTTCGTATCTTCTTTTTTCATTTCTTTCTTTCTTTAAGTTTCGTTATTTTTTCTTTGTTCCTTTTTCTCCTTTTCTTTCTACGTTAACCTCTTCTCTTCCTCATTCTCTTTCAGAATTCTCCTTTTTTCATTCTCTATTTGTTTCCTATCGTGTCTTTCTTTCTTTGTTTTTCTTCTTCTTTCGACATTCTTTAATTTTTCATTTTTTCATTTTATTCCCTTCTTTTGGCTTTTTTTCTTTTTTTATTCTTGTTTTTCTTGCCCCCTTTGCTTGTGACTTTCTTTCTTACCAGCGGGACCCTTTTTCTTTCTTTCTTTCTTTCTTTCTTTCTTTCTTTCTTTCTATATATATATATATATATGTGTGTATGTATGTATATGCTTATTCTTGTTCTCCTTTGTCATTCCTCCTTTTTTCCTTTCTATGATTTGCCTTCGTATATTTTTCATATATATCTGCGTATAGCCCGCAGATGCATAAAAATGCACTTGCATATGCGTTTACACATATATGAAAGTACGTCTTCCTAGATATATTTATATTTCCCTCTGTATATGTGCGTATGTGAACCCCTTACCCTAACAATGGGGCTACGTGTGTCTGTCTGCTGATCAGTCGGTTGCCCTTTTTGCTTAAAATATTTTTCTTTCTTTATTTTTACGTTTTTTTTTTGTTGTTTTTTTCTTATTTACATGAGAAAATTTGTTAAATACATTTTTTATACTTTTGCTTCCTATTTTAAAGATATATTTGTCAAAATTGTTTTGCTTTATAATATTTTTTATTTCTAATTTATTACTTTTACCCCAAACGACAACCTACCATCAATTTTTTGGATTGAAACTTCTTCCCTGAAGCGTCTTTCTCTTTCGTTTATTCCCACTGCCTTTACTCTTTTCAGACTCGTCTCTCCTTTATTCATCCTTATTCACCCTTATTCTATTTAATCTTCTACTCCGAAATTTTATTATCTTGATTTTAGGCAAACTTTTAGAGTTTCTCGTTTTTTCCCTCTAATTGTTTGATATTTTACCCCGAAAATGTATTCTTTGCTTTTATATATTCTTCTTTTATTTTTCAATTTTTTAAAAAATGGAATAGCGGCATAAATGCGCCCGCATTTTCCGCTGATATACACAGAGTTGGCTAAGGAACCAATATCTGTACCTAGAGACACGTACAGTATCCTTCATGCAAATGTTCTTTGCTATTTGTGCCGTCTTAGAATATTGTCCATGCACATATATGTACACAGAATGAATTTTAAAAACTCCTTAACATAATAGAACGTGAAAAGTCAAATAGAATAACATTACGATCACAAATGGAAGCCGCGTACAATCAAACACATGTCAGCAAACTTGAATGAGTCATTCTAATTGTTTTTAAGCTTTGATTACTTTTGTCGCAAGGAGACAGGTATGGGACATTCAGTGCGGACTGAACTTTTTACTAATAGTTCCTTTAAGACTCAACGGCTACTCAAGGTAACGGGTTACCGAATGCGATTGTATGGGAGGGGATGGGGTTGTAAGAGAGTGTTAGGAGGACGAGTAGGGTACATATAGATTGACGCTGTCTCCACTAAATACTAAACTAGAAAATTAACGCATATGACGACATATAAGGCGCACTTTCTTTAAAATAAAAAATATCTTTTAAAATTCCCCCGCGTGTTATATGCCAAATGTAGGTTTAAATTTCACGACAACACTACTTGGCAACACCTTTTAGCTTAGACTTAAACTTGAAGGAGCAATGGAACATGTGGATGACAATGCCTGATCAACCTTACAGTTACAGGAAGAATAAAAAGACCCAGCATTGCACAAGTTTGCGAATGGGTGAAGCAAACTTGGGATAATATTAGACCAGAAATTGTTATGAAATCTTTTAAAAAGTGTGGCATTAGCTATTCTCTCAATAGAATGGAAGATGAAGCATTATTTAATGACGACGAGTTGTATGTGAAAATGAATATCGGAGTTTTGATAAGGAAGATGGCGAATTTTATAGATTTGAAGATGAATGAAATTTTAATCGCAATGCTACTCTTTTGATCAATTCTAATAATTACTTGATTTTTATTTTGTTTTCCTATCTTTGGATATAATAAAGTTTTTATAGATCCATGTTCTTTTTTTCTATTATTTTCGTTTAATTGTAATCATGGCTTGTTTAACCAAATTAATACCTCATAAATATAGCCTAGGTTGTACCATTTACTAATTATTTTACTAATTACTAATTTTTTCTTGATTTTTCCTGCTGAAATTGGGGTGCGTCTTATACACCCGTGCGTCTTATATGACGTCAAGTACGGTAAATATATAACGTGGTCATTAAGGTCAACACCGAGAGGTGACAATCTGTTTCATGTTTGCATTCAGGCATGAAACAGTTTGTCGTAGTGTGACGTTGATCTTAATGTCCACTTTTATATTTACATACGCTCCTCTCTCTTATTGATCAATTTTACCCATAAATATAGCATTCTTTAAAACTATATTTCCCAATGCATACATTCACAGACGCGCATATATATGTTTGAATATAAGCGCTTCTGTACCTTAAGCCTTCTCGGTGTAAAGTTGCAGTGGACGTTTATTCCATTGGTCTCCTTTCATTTAAAATTGATTCTAGTGATAAAACATTCATTCCTCTATGTATGAAGGTTAAATTAAAATCATAAAATTCATGAGCGTGAATCGATTAATAAATAATATGAATAAAATTATTTCGAACTGTTTCCGCACTGACGCTTTCCTTTTGAAAAAAAAAACTGTGGAGTTCAAGACCGTCCAAGAAAAACAAACACCCATTTTGAAAATCAGATTGTGTGAAACAATCAGCTAATTCGTAAATAATAATAAAAAAATGTTATTTTTTTGTGTATTAAAAAGCTGTGAAAAAGTACTATAAAAATCACATATACACTCAGTAACCACACTTGCGTCTTAGTGACTTTATTGCCTTGTTTGCGGTGAAATGATGAAAAAATAGACAAACGAATACATTTAGTTTTTTCGTTGCTTTTCTTTTTTTGTTTTTTTGTTATTTATTTATCTATTTATTTTTTGTTTTACCTTGTTTTCTTGTTTAGCAAGCAAGTTGACATCAAATAGATTTAGAACCTACGAAACCAACGGAGTTAATGTTAATCGAGTGTAATATGATCCTCTCCCTAAGTCGGAATTATCTCTCCCCGTTGGTGTTGATTTTTCGTAACAATAAAGGACTACACAGTATAGCATTCTCGAACTTGTTCAAGTTATTGTTATTTTTTTTACATTAAGACCGGTTCACAGGTCAGTAAGTTGATGCATGGACGTAGGTTGAGGAGAACATAAAATAATACGGCAATTAATGCCGCGTGGATTTTTTTCTATAATTAAAGGTAAAAAGGAAAAAAAAGACATACTATAATGTTGGCGCATGTGCAGGAAAGTCAAAACTGTAAAGCGCGCGCACACCACGCCATTGAACTTATACCTGTAGACAGCAGGAAAATCTGATCTACCTCCTGATGTAATAAATATATTTATTTTTGTTGCTTTGTGTTAATATTTAGTAAGTAAGAGGCTGAGGGGAAATTTTGTTCCTGTCCCGGACGTACGCGCTCGGGTCCCCACTTAAAAATAGACCTTGTGTCACATCTTGTCCAAGTGGTGGACACAGTAAATACCGTGTTAATATTTAGTTTGTTTTGGGGTTCATCCCCTAATCTCTTATTTTTAATCATTAGATTTTTATCTATGAAATATTTATTACCATCACATTTCTATGTCACGGAGTACGTTTTATAGGTCCTCCTGAGAGGATGCGACATTATGGTGCATGGAGGATTGATTGGTGTCAGGTGAGATTTTGTGGTGAACGGAGGTAATTGAATGGGTCGTCGGATGAGCTAGCTATAAGATAGTTTGTTTCCCCCCTTTTGGCCTCGTGCCATAATTGTATGTATATACAATAAATAAAAATATATATGTTGTTAAAATCCCATCGTGGAGCGATATTATGTGAGAGATGCGGCCTGTTAACAGGTCATGGTACCTGGTAGAACGGATCTGATGTTGCAATACCCGAAATTCGTAATGAAGCCAGAGTGACATGACTGATTAACTCTACCATTGCATTTTATAAATGTATTTCCAGCCTATATTTATAAGAGAATCATTGCTGAAAAAAGCGGAAAAAAGAATTTGTAAATATTACCGACGTGAGTATAAAAAATCCACATTGCATGGCGATTGTCAGTTTCACACGGTAGCAGTCACATGTATGTCAGTTCACTTTAAAGAGATGAAACAGGATTAATTATTGCCCGGTGATCGCTTAAGGCGTGAAATTGTCTCTATGTATGAAGAACTGTTCATATCCGACTATCTCTGTCTTCTAGGGTAACTAGATCATTCCTGTTACAGGCATCTGTTACTGCATATGCGCGTTTGTTCGATCCCATCAACTATGCTGGGCTATCGTTTCGGAAAGTACTCTAAAACCCTCGGCCATGTGGACTTGTAATCATCGACGACATTCTAAGAGTTCTATCTATCCAATTCCACTCACAAGGCTCAGATCAACCTGTGATATGGTTTTCAGATACTTTTAAATATTGTGAAACGTTGAAATAATAATCAAGTTGATACTTCGCTGAAAAGCCATCATATTGGAATGCTAACACTAACACACACAAACATACACAGATAGATAGATATATAGATAGGAACAGACTGAGATAGATAGATAGATAGATAGATAGATAGATAGATATGAATAATCTTAGATAAATAGGATTAGATAGATAAATAGATATGAATAGGATTAGATAGATAGATAGATAGATAGATAGATAGATAGATATGAATAATCTTAGATAAATAGGATTAGATAGATAAATAGATATGAATAGGATTAGATAGATAGATAGATAGATAGATAGATAGATAGATATGAATAGGATTAGATAGATAGATAGATAGATAGATAGATAGATAGATAGATAGATAGGAACAGACTGAGATAGATAGATAGATAGATAGATAGATAGATAGATAGATAGATAGATAGATAGATAGAAACAGACTGCAGGCCCGACTTTAGCTAGCACGGGAGAGGAAGACCGTCTGCTAGCAGATTCCGGGCAATGTTTGGTAATTGGTGGAACGCTCAATGTATGTTCTGTCTCATCTCTTCTGATCTCGCTCTTCGGAAAGACAAGTTGCTTGGTCGATATTAGATTTCAGTTCCTTATGATAGTATTTGATTTCATAGGGATGAAGAACCGTTTTTAGGGAATCGTTTTACCATATTTCCCCACTTCTTCGTGGATCAGAAATTACTTTGACAAAAAAGATTATCCTTGAGAAACGATAGACTTCTATCTTCACCATGTGCTTTCTCAATGCAGATGAATCATTTGTTGAG